TATCCACGGCCGCGAATGGCGATGTGGGTAGGCCTGCGCACGGCACGTATGCGCCCCCTACCCGGAAATGCAAAATCAAGTATATATACGTGATTCTGTGCACAGGTGCCGCAGACTCCTTTAAGCAATAATAATAATTTTATTATTAATAATAATCCATAGAAATATATTTTCCTCTTCACATTACTGTAGCACTACATCAGGCGTTGTACAATCTTTGCGCCTTTTGGCACTTTGTGCATACGACAACCTAATGTAAATGAGCCCCTCTTCACATTACTGTAGCACTACATCAGGCGTTGTACAATCTGTGCGCATTTTTGCACTTTGTGCATATCACAACCTAATGTGAATGAGCCCCTCTTCACATTACTGTAGCACTACATCAGGCGTTGCACAATCTTTGCACGTTTTTGCACTTTGTGCATACAATCTAATGTGAATGATCCCCTCTTTACATTACTGTAGCACTACAGCGAGAGTGTTCAATCTTTGCACACTTTGTGCATACGACAACCTAATGTGAATGAACCCCTCTTCACATTTCTGTAGCACAACAGGCGTTCAATCTTTGCACATTTTTGTACTTTGTGCATATGACAACCTAATGTGAATAAGCCCTTCTTCACACTACTGTAGCACTACAGCAGGCGTTGTACAATCTTTGCGCATTTTTGCACTTTGTACATATGACAACCTAATGTGAATGAGCCCCTCTTCGCATTTCTGTAAAACTAGAGCAGGCGTTGTACAATCTTTGCGCATTTTTGCACTTTGTGCATATGACAACCTAATGTGAATGAGCCCCTCTTCACATTTCTGTAGCACAACAGGCGTTCAATCTTTGCACATTTTTGTACTTTGTGCATATGACAACCTAATGTGAATAAGCCCTTCTTCACACTACTGTAGCACTACAGCAGGCGTTGTACAATCTTTGCGCATTTTTGCACTTTGTACATATGACAACCTAATGTGAATGAGCCCCTCTTCGCATTTCTGTAAAACTAGAGCAGGTGTTGTTCAATCTTTGCGCATTTTTGCACTTTGTGCATATGACAACCGAATATGAATAAGCCTCTCTTCACATTAGTGTAGCACTACATCAGGCGGTGTTCAATCTTTGCACATTTTTGCACTGTGTGCATACAACAACCTAATGTGAATGAGCCCAAACCCCTCTTCACATTACTGTAGCACTACATCAGGCGTTGTACAATCTTTGTGCTTTTTTACACTTTGTGAATACAACCTAATGTGAATAAGCCTCTGTTCACATTACTGTAGCACTACAGCAGGCGTTGTTCAATCCTTGCACGTTTTTTTGCACTTTGTGCATATGACAACCTAATGTGAATGAGCCCCTATTCACATTACTGTAGCACTACAGCAGGCGTTCTACAATCTTTGCGTTTTTTTGCACTTTGTGCATATGACAGCCTATATATTTCAAAGGGCTGCCTTACATGTGTCAAATACATCATGCTCCGTTCAGGGGTGGACTGACAACTTATGGGGCCCCCAGGCAAATGGGATCATGGGGCCCCTGTGTCCTTGCCCACACTCAAAGCACATCCAAAAAAAGCCTTTAAAAACGTACCAGGGCCATTTCATGGGGCCCCCTACTGACCCCGGGCCCTCGGGCAGTGCCCGAGTGCCTGAATGGTCAGTCCGCCCCTGGCTCCGTTTGAGTGTCATGTGTTTTGTTAACTGTGCGTTTTTTCACGCTTCATGCTTTTTTGCTTGGTGTGTTTGGGGTGCCATTAACAATGAATGGCCCCACAAGCATAACATGCATTTTTCTTCTGTTGTGTGAACAAGCGCAAAATCACGCAAGTGCTACACAAGTGTGAAAGGCCCCGACAGATGCGAAAAATAAAATCCTAGGTACATGTACTGCAATATATGGATACCTTTTTAATTCAGTGTTTTGTAGATCAGTATACGAATGTACACCACGTAGGATCGGAATCGGTTGATCAGTTTCTTAATATGCTTTTCCAAGCTTTTTTCGATTTTCTGTAAATGGTCCAATCACAAGCGATTTTAAATGAATGCGGTGATGCTGATCAGTCTTCCGGCTGTATTTTTCTGCTGGACAGTAAATCAATTGACGATGGGATCATATAGAAAATCGTTCTGTGTATTGCCATTACCAAAGTCTCTTCTACCGAAAACCTCTACCCACTAGCAATTTTTTTAATAACTTTAATTCCGCTTTAAAGCTTTCCTCTAAATATTTCACTTGCACGATTGTTATCCTGCAGGGAAAAAAAAAGCTTTAATAACAGTGGCGGACTTCTCAAGGACTGGAGAAATAGTCTCAGTGCTTAGAATTGGCAGTTCTCCAGAGACGTATCCTACAGCCTCAACCCTTTGGCTGGGGAGTGGAAGGGAAGGAAAAGGAGGGGTAGGTCTTTTCTGTGGATCAGCTGCTGCAGCAGAGGGTAGGGCCAAGAGGAGGGGTGAGGAGTCAGTACAGTAGCACAGGCTGCATGGTAGTGAGTGCCTTGGTGCTGGGACTGAGAATCAGCAGTGCTGAAATCATAAGCCAACTAGAACTGCTCAGCCTGAACACAGGACATTGTTTCATTGAAGATTTCTAGAGGCTCTGTGGAGCAGACTTTGCATTCTCTAACTTGCTGGACTGGGATCTCAACTAGAACAAAGAAGTTTCTCTTATTCTGCTACGCCTTTCTCATTGGGACATCCCTACAAGCGTGGATTATATGGATAAAGAGTTGGACATAGAAAGGTAAAAATTCATGTTTGCGTTTATAGATGCTTAATCCTAAAAGAAGTTTGGTTTTTAAGGACGCTAGCTGATTTTCATCAAATTCTTGCTGATGAAGAGATAGGGGTACAGCACTTTAAATGTGGGATTAAAGGATTCACTAAACTGACAGGTTCTGTCTTGCTCTACTGCAGTCTATGTATAGAGTCCTTGCTGCAGCTGGAAACTATAGTGTTCTCCAACAGGAAATCCTCATCGTATTTAGGGGGAGATCCGAGCGAAGACAATACATTTTTAGACGCTTTTAGGAGTTCATTTTTCCTGTAACAAAGAGCAATCATTCAGTTCATTGAAACTTCGTATAAAAGATCCAATCACACCCATTTTCTTTGGCAGGAACTGTATTATATTTAAAATACAATGCTACTAGGTAAATATTCATTGAGAACCTTCTGATAGGAGTTTCATTAAAAAGGTTTAGGATTACATTTGCAGTCATGTCCTGTATGAAGTTGCTGTGGAAGAAGGAGCCCTTGCCTATTAGCCCCCATTTACACCTGAACGCATTTCCAGAAGCGCTTTAATATGCCATACCTAGATTTCCATGTTGTTGTATTTTGCCTGTTCACATCTGAGCCCAACACTCAGAAAAAGTACGGGTCATGATTGCACGTTTGTGGCCCCCAATAGATTTCAATAGGAGCGCCAAGGAAAAAAAAACCATGCATGATGTGCGTTTTTCGCTTTATTTCATGCCTTACAATCGTCTTCTCTTTCTATTGGCTAAAACAAAAAGCAATCACACCTAAAAGGCAGAAAGAAATGCACAAATGTGTAAAAAACAGCAGAAAATGCCAACTCTCAAGAGTGATAGAAACCGGTCTGCATAAACTCTGTTGCAGGTTTAGGATTACGTTTGCAGTCATGTCCTGTATGAAGTTGCTGTGGAAGAAGGAGCCCTTGCGTATTAGCCCCCATTTACACCTGAATGCATTTCCAGAAGCGCTTTAATACGCGATACTCAGATTTCCATGTTGTTGTAGTGTGCCTGTTCACATCTGAGCCCAACACTCAGAAAAAGTACGAGTCATGATTGCACGTTTGTGGCCCCCAATAGATTACAATAGGAGCGCCAAGAAAAAAATAAACATGCGTGATGTGCGTTTTTCACTTGATTTTATACCTTACAATCATCTTCTCTTTCTATTGGCTAAAACAAAAGCAATCACACCTAAAAGGCAGAAAGAAAGAAATGCACAAATGTGCAAAAAACAGCAGAAGATGCCAACTCTCAAGAGTGATAGCAACCAGTCTGCATAAACTCTGTTGCAGGTACATTGAATAAATATTGAGACTCCACAGCTTTCTATCTAATACCACATAGATTTGTTTTGCTTTGTGACACTTTTTTTGCACTCATGGTTTTGAAGTGTACACTTAGTCAATGTGTGTTTGTGTTCTTCCTGTATTGATAATCTAGTGTAATTGGTCCAGTTTCAGTCTGTTATCTTGTTGGCTCCAATAACCCTGAGTCATGTAATCCAAATCTCTTCTGAAGGCTTAGATGAGACAGGTAATGATTGCACTTGCATTGTGAAGATTACTGCTTTATGTTTATTGTCTGTGTCTCCAGTGTGTGAAAGGCAGCTACAGCATGCCAGAGGTACACATTACTTGAGCGCACCTTCTCTCTGTATGATGAGGTCATTTCATTTAGAGATTAGCCCTCATCTATTTCACTACAGTTGGTGATTGGCAGCTGTCACTTTGGGTTAGCCAGGTTTAAATCTGACTATGGAAGTAGTCAGATTTACAGCGGGATAAATCAAAGTGATGAGACCAGTCATACATGCAAACATAATCCACCCACTGAAAGATCTTTTCTTAAACGTGCATGCAGATTACCCCAGCATGCATGTTTTATTAGTGCAGGTGGGGAGGGGGTGTTCAGCAGACAAATCCAGTGATGGCTTATCTCAGGAGCAACAAAAGTGGTCCTCCAAATATATCCAATGCAGCTGGTGACTGTTTGAGATTGGTCGGCTGGGGGCGTCTGGTGCAGTCTGTTGGCATCCATACCAATGATAGTTGTTGTCAGATCGAACAACAATCAACTTTTGTTACTGGGTACCTGCATGTTTTGCATGAAATAGCTGGTGTTGTGAAGTTTATTTTATCTTGCAGATACTTATGGCAATGGGCAATACTTTTATAAATGCTATTATTATTTATTTAAGGTACTTATATAGTGCTGTCAATTTACCAGGGAAACTCGGGCACTGCCCGAGGGCCTGGGGTCAGTAGGAGGCCCCATGAGATGCCCCTGGTACCTTTTTCATAGGCTTTTTTGAGTTTGGGCAAGGACACAGGGGCCCCATGATCCCCTATTGCCCGGGGGGCCCCATGAGTTGTCAGTTCGCCCCTGCACTTTACATATATATTGTACATTCACATCAGTCCCTAACCCTCAAGGGGCATACAATCTAAGGTCCCTAACTTACATTCATACATGCACATACTAGGGCCAATTTAGACAGGATCCAATTAACCTACCAGCATGTCTTTGGAGTGTGGGAGGAAACCCACGCAGACACAGGGAAAATATGCAAACTCCAGGCAGGTGGTGCTGTGGTTGGGATTTGAACTAATGATCCTAGTACTGCCAGGCAAAAGTGCTAACCATTTAGCTACTGTGCTGCCCATTATTATGCCAACCTTTTTATATTGAAGGGTGGGGCTGAAATATCAACCAACTGCTTTAACATGGAAGATGAGAGATTGAAAATGTTGTCCAGTATTTTTTATATTGGTATCAAATTCATATACATATAAAAAATAGATCATAAATATTGAATTTTATAAAATACGGATAAACTGAAAAGAGAGTGAGAATTAAAAGGAAAACCCTATTTTAGTATCTGGAACACTGGAAATTTGTCTATATTTAGTCTACCATCCTTCAGACTTACTCTTTCCACTCGAAGGCTAACCTCCCCATAAAATCACATAATCAGAAATCTTGAGATGTGTTATATAATATCAGCTGTTTGAGGTGACTTTCTCGCAGTCCATCTTTAAAGTTGTTCTGTCTATCTGGTCACCGTTATCAAGATTATTGTATTACCAGTCCTTTCCTTGACTCTCAGTAGGAACACAGTTGTTTCAGATGTTTAATCTGCACGTCTACTAAACAAATCTTCTACCCACCCCACAATTCTATTCCAGTGCCTCTTGACCTTTCTACACTTGAATAATATAGGTTTTACATTTGGAATAAGAGTCCCACACTTTAAGCAATGAGAATCACGATCATCTTTCCATTCCGAATATTTGGCTGCAGAAATACTGGCTCTATTAATTACTTTAAAATATGTTATTCAGTAAAAGTAACACGTTTATGGTCAGATCTGCCATTGGTTATGATGGATGGAAAGATATCTGTACAAAATTGTATTCGTCAATATGATGACTGGGTGTTTTCACTGTCCATGAATGCTACCCTTTTCACCACCAAACATAGATTGTCCATAATGTTGTCCCGGAAATCTACCCTTTTCACCACCAAACATATAGATTTTCCATCATGCTGTTCCCGGAATGCTACCTTTTTCCACCACCAAACATATAGATTTTCCATCATGCTGTCCTGGAATGCTACCATTTTCACCACCACACATATAGATTTTCCATCATGCTGTCCTGGAATGCTACCATTTCCACCACCAAACATAGATTTTCCATCATGCTGTCCAGGAATGCTATCTTTTCCACCACCAAACATATACAGTAGATTTTCTATCATGCTGTCTAGGTATGCTACCATTTCCACCACCAAACATATGGATTTTCCACCATGCTGTCCAGGAATACTATCTTTTCCACCACCAAACATATACAGTAGATTTTCTATCATGCTGTCTAGGTATGCTACCATTTCCACCACCAAACATATGGATTTTCCATCATGCTGTCCAGGAATACTATCTTTTCCACCACCAAACATATACAGTAGATTGTCTAGGTATGCTATCTTTTCTACCACCAAACCTATAGAATGTCCATTATGCTGTATTACTTTGGCAGAAATAACATAATCTTCAGACACTGAGATATACTCTTGGAAAAGAACCTACTACATGGCCAGATCTTCTGCATCACTTGAAGACTTGTATAATGGTCACTTTTACTATGATGTGATTAAGAGTAACCCTTGCATAAACATCAACTTAATTGATAAGAAACTATAAATAAAAAGGTCATCAATTGTAGTTATGATCTCACCACTAGTAGCAAGCTTGGCATCTTCTTCATTAAATAATCATTTAACCATGATATTTGTTAAAGAAACTGCCCAACTGACTCCTTTCTGTGGCTATGTTGAGTCCCCACCACAACGGTAAAGGTTTTAGTCACAGTAAAGCACTCATGAATCTATTTCTAGTTAGAAGAGTGATGGCATTTTTTTTACAGCTTGAGCTTTCTGTTTGTGTTTCTAAATTAGCCTTGTCTGGTCACCTTTGTATGTTCAAGACTAAATCCTTCCATGATACTTGAATACTTTGATGGTGTTGAGTCCCTTGCGGCAGGACTAAAGGGTAAATCTTTAACAGGAACATAGAAAGTAATACAAAGTGATACAGGGAGTTACACTTCATATTCATAAAGGTATTTTTTTGGCCTTAACTATGTTTTTTTTAAATTCCTTCTTGAACTTTTCAATAATTAAAAGTTAAAGATGCCAGTTTGTGAAGACTTTAATTATTTTACTGTGAATAGGATTCCTAGAATTTACAGTATGTTAGCTCAAACGGAGTATTAACTAATGTTTGCACACTAGCACTATATCTTAGTTTGTTGCCATTGAAAGACCCATTAGCATTTGTTAGGGTGCAGGCACACATTTTCTGGTGTGCTGAGTTCAACTAGTTCTTATGGGCTATTAATACTAAGCAACCTGGTGGCAATTAAGACCAACTAAGTGTTAGTATATAGAGATGTTAGGGCTCAGAGCAGGGTTGGGAAGGTATCATGAAAGTGACAGCTTCCCACATAGGATTCCCTGGTTGTTATGAAGCCGGTGACCACCAGCATCATAGCAACCAATGACTGATTCCTGACCCATCAGCTTCCAAACAGAACATTTCCCAGCTGACAGCTGAATGGGGCCAGTGAAGAGTTATCAATTGCTAGGATGCTGTCGGCTGCACAGCACAGTAAGAATGGTATGGACACCTAGGTGCCCCCCCTCCATGAAACAGATTTATGTACCTAGCCTAGTACCTACCTAAGCAGATGGGCATATGAATCTATTACTATCATGTGGAGGAACAAAGTAATTCTAAAGAGTGCATATGATGATATTTATCAATTCCACTGACAGAGTGTTCACATCTGTGTGTTGAAGAGGACCTTTTTATTTGTATTGTATTTGTATTTTCTTTTATGCAGTGCTTTTAATCACATGAAAAGGAATGCCACTGCAACACACATAGAGGTGTGTTGCAGTAAAATGTGTATTTTAATTTACGTTACTGCAACACACGTATGTGAATGCATCCTTAAATATTTCATAATATTGAGCCAGAGGAGACCAGCTTGAAGAATTCAAATAACAATCACCAGTGAGCCGAGTCTCTGGTGTGTAATTTATCTTCATTTGCTTTACATCACGTGCAAAGTATTTTTTAAGTAGTAGTTGTGGCATTTTGGTATTGTCTGAAAATAACATGGATTATCTGGAATTACCCTTTAATGACTGTGTACATTTTACACAGTGCTAAATAAGCAAATATTGTTTGAGCAGTCTGTGCAAACTGGATATGCAACTGCTGAATGATGCCTTCCCCATCATGTATGCACTCTTCTACAGGGCATTGGTATATAAAGCAAACGTGGGGTTCTGTCGCTGACCTCTGTCTAAATAATAATAGTTGTCTGACTCTTAGCTTGAGGATTTTCTGAGTCATAGACTTGCAAAACAGGAAAACCAGATTGAAGTCCTAAATCCTCATCTTTATACTTATTCTGGGCTAGGGACTTTAACAGTTGAAACAGGAGGTTCAATGTGACTGCCAGACAACTAGATTTTACAGAAGGAAGGGCCAGAAATGACCAATTCAATGGTTCCTTTATGACTTTGCCAAGTCCAGTTCATCCATTAGGTATTCCTCCTTAGGAATAACATCTATACAAGGAAAAGTCTAACCTATTTTCAGCAAATGCATATTGTATGTTTTTATTGCAATGTTTACCTTAAAGCAACTCTGTCATAATGAAATGTCTCAAAAAATGTTTCCCTGCAAAGAAGAGGTCATTCTTACCTCTCCTGCTTCCCATGTCATAGGTCCAGGGGCGGACTGACAACTCATGGAGCCCCCGGGCAATAGGGGATCATGGGGACCCTGTGTCCTTGCCCAAACTCAAGAAAGCCTATGAAAAAGATACCAGGGGCATCTCATGGGGCCCCCTACTGATCTCGGGCAGTGCCCAAGTTTCCCAATGGTCAGTCCGCCCCTGCGTAGGTCACTGCTGAACTGAGAAGAAACAGCTTCCTGAAATAACAAAAAAAAACCTGCTACATCTGGTGAACCCCTGATCCCTTGCTGTGACCTGTGGTTCTTCCCGCTAGCCCCTAAGCCAATACTGAATGCAGTCATGATGTACAGTTCAGCAGATGGAATCACAGGTGGCAACACAGAACCAGGAATCCGACACTACCAGAAGTGTCAGGTTCTGGAGAGTCTTCAGGTAGCGGTCCTTCTCAATCCAGCAGTAATCAGTGACATGGGCTGCATGGAAAGTAAGAATGAACTCTCTTTTTTGCAGGGAAACAATTTTTAGGACATTTCACTCTAGTGACTGAGTTGCTTTAAAGTACACTTAAATAGCAGCACAATGGCTAAATGGTTAGCACTTCTGCCTGGCAGTACTACGGTTGTTGGTTCAAATCCCAACCATGGCACCACCCTGCCTGGAGTTTGCATGTTCTCCTTGTGCCTGCATGGGTTTCTTCCCACACTCCATAGACATGCTGGTAGGTTAATTGGATCCTGTCTAAATTGGCCCTGTTATGTGTATGTATGAATGTAAATAGGGACCTTAGATTATACGCCCCTTGAGAATTAGGGACTGATGTGAATGTACAATATATATGTAAAGCACTGCATAAATTTACAGCGCTATATACAATAAGTACCTGTAAAAAATAAATAAAACCAAACCTTCTTTTTAGAGTACAGAGGGGTAAAACATTTTTTGCTACCTGTGTCCCATTTCCAGCTCTGCAGTTACAACAGGAAGTGAAAATAAATCTCTACAAAAAAGTTAGGGAAATGGCCTAACAAGTATCCCCATTGGAATATTTCCCCTCTGGTTCTACTTACAACCTTTTGGTTTTTCTCTCATTTTTTAACA